TCATCAGGCTCGTGAAAAGGTCTACAATTTGATTTTCTGAACTCCAGATAGAATATTTTTGTTCCCTTGGTTCAGGTCGATGTCATAAGTTGGGAAGCCTGTTTCATTTTGAGCAGCTGTTTTGCAGTGACTGGGCTGTAAACATAATGAAAACCCCTCAGAAGCACAAACTGGGGCTTGTGGGCCACAGATTTGTTTGAGCGAAATCCACATTTTGCCACATTTTTGACACTTTTCAGTATTTCTTCAAAAGCTACTGTTTGTACTTGCAAAGTGTGTTTTTCTTTTAATGCACGACTTTGATTGCATACGGCCCTACATCGACGTCCACCCGGGGGTGTTGCATTCTGCCCACAGCGCGTCAGAGTGTCAGTCATGTGTGAAGCTGCTTCCGTCCATCCACCACCTTCACTGACTCCATTCCCCAAAACAACTGCTGACAAACTGGTCTGAAAAAGCCAAACTATTCTGACGTTCTTTGTGTATATGTGGCTTAAGTGTATCACATGTTAAACTTCATACTGTCAATGTTATGTTGTGCTCTTAACAAAACAAATCCTGCTTGTTATCATCTTAATAATATATGCAGACAAGTTATAAAATAAACTAAAATAAATTCAACTATGGCTGTTTGCTGATGACTCAGGAGAAATGAGGAAGGCTGCATTTTATTGTTTTTCAACTTGATTTTGCCACAAACTAACATTTTGTATTTCAAATCCAGTCAGCTTTGCAATGATAACAAAGGACTTGCACACATTCCGGTGTGCAGGGCCTGTATCTGTCAAAATGCTGACAGCAAAAACGGCTTAAGCAAAAGATAAAAGCAAAAATATTTTTTTTCTTAAAATATCTCACTTCGCTTCACTTTCCGAAGCAAAGTTTGTTGTGTGTTTCACATTTTATTGTGTTGTAAATGTAATAAAATGTGTTAAATGTAGTATAAAAGGTGGTTCTTGACATTTCCAGAGGATTAAAACAAACAGGATGCACCTGAGCACGGTTTCACAGCAAGGGCTCTGAATACTCCTGCAAGTGAGATTTCAGTTTTTGATTTTCATGAATTTGAAGAGGTTTCTAGAAAAACACTTTCAATTTGTCATTACAAGTTATTGTGGAAGGGGATTTGGGCCACTGTGCAAAATTTGAGTTTTGAATCCTGAGATTCTGAGAGTCAGAATTTAAAGTCAGAACTCAAATAATTTTTTTACAGTGGCCCCAATCCTCTCCCATACAGTTACTGAGTGCAATTTGATGGGTACAAAATGTATAATTGTATCACTTTAAGATAAAATTTACAATTGCTAACAAACTCCAGAGTATTAAAGACAAACAGAGTTAAGAGTCTATAAATTATATATAAAAAAAAAAAAGCAGAAACAGTCATAAAGAGATGGATGGGTACAATACTAGATGGACTAAAGTTTCATCACACCTTTTATGTATATCCAAGTCCAGTCTGGGTTTAATGCATTCAGGTTTGGATATTAGTAGTATTTTGTTTTATTAATGAAAAGTTTGCTGTGAACAACCAATATATGTGCCGCTGGAAAGATGATGATAAACCCAGATTCATGTGATAAAAGCCACTGTGAAGTTACAGTAAACAAGGGAAATAGGCCTACCGTTCAAATAACAGGCTCTCATACGTGTAATGTTCAGACTTCCGGGTGCGGTGACGCCTAAAAATTAGCCAATAGCAAAAGGGGGACAGCGCAGGAAAATTAGCATGTGATGTGTTTAAGAATCGGCAGCGCAACAGAGTTCCTCCACTTTCGACCGTGACAAGCGAACCTAAAACCATGCCTGACCCAGCGAAAACTGCACCCAAGAAGGGCTCCAAGAAAGCCGTGACGAAGACTACTACCAAGACTGGCAAGAAGAAGCGAAAGACCAGGAAGGAAAGCTATGCTATCTACGTCTACAAGGTGCTGAAGCAGGTCCACCCAGACACCGGAATATCCTCAAAAGCTATGAGCATCATGAACTCCTTCGTGAGTGACATCTTCGAGCGCATCGCTGGTGAAGCCTCACGCCTGGCTCACTACAACAAGCGTTCTACCATCACCTCCAGGGAGATCCAAACCGCTGTGCGTCTCCTGCTCCCTGGGGAGCTGGCTAAGCACGCTGTCTCTGAGGGCACCAAGGCTGTGACCAAGTACACCAGCTCTAAGTAAACTCTTGCCTCTTCAATATAAACCAACGGCTCTTTTAAGAGCCACACATGTTCCTCAAAGAGCAAACGTCCGTTTTATTTTTATAGTTTCAGTAAACGATAAAAGTATGAGTTTTTCCTTAATCTGTGGCAGTAAATTACATGTTAACTATCTAATTCTAGTTCCTGCTTGTTTTCTAAGATGGAAAATATAAAGCTACACCTGACAAATTGATTTTCATCTTTAACTTCTTTATGATTAAACCCACTGTGTTTAAACTGCAGCTCAAACCTTCAGGGTTTTTACATGGGAGGATGAGCTTTATTTTTTTCCAGGCAGTGACATGACATTTGCTCCCAAATAACGTGCTACAGACTGAACTACGGAAAGCTGCCGATGTCCCAGTAATATCTGATGGTGCTGTAGCATAGTGACTAATTACTGTCCATTTTAAAGCTGCAGCTGGTAAAGGTGGAGCTGATGGGTAACTACCTTATATACATATCGCCTGACTACTAGCCTGTTTAAAATGTTGTGAAAGCAGTGAAGCTATATGTTTGTGTACAAACAAATCCTCCTTTCAGTTTCGTCTTCCAATAAGCGGTGTGTGCCACATGTCAGTGCACTGTCCGTATGCTCAGAGGGACAAGTTTAATCTCGGGAAAAGGAAAATGATTCAACATAAACGTGTCAATTACAGTTTGGCTACCATAGGAAGCGATGGTAAAGGGTTAAAGGTTAAACGGTTTGTTAGAAAAGAAATGTTGCCGCCCACTAGAGCTTGTGGTTGTCAACTAGGTCCGCAAAACTGGTTCTAACTGGACGTTGGTCGGCCTGTTTACTACAATGGAAACCAAAACAAAATTGGACTTTGTTTTGCTTCCTGCTCAGGTTGTTTATGCACGTGTACTGCAGCCAAGACATTACAGGCCACAGGAGTCTCTGGATGCGATCATGCAGTGCTCCTCCTCCACCAAGGCCTCCAGGCTGAGGAGGCCTCAAAGGTAGAAGCTGACCAGCAGGCGGAGTCATCTGATGAATCTTCTGAAGATGAGTGGAATGGAGATGGATGAAGCAGGTGAGCAGGGTTGGACTTCAAAAAAATGGAAAGATGTTTTGGTTTCCCACAAACACCGAGACATTCCGTTACATCCCAGCAGCCACAGGGTTGATCCCGGGACCTACACACTATGCCGTTGCCCGAGTCAGTGACCCGGCATCCAGCTTTGCTCTGCTGTTGACAGAAGAAATCCTGCAACATGTTGTGGCCATGACGAACCTTCATGGGAGATGCTCAGTGGCAGACTGGCAAGATGTGGACACAGAGGAACTGCAGGCTTACATGGGGCTGCTCATTTTGGCTGGCCGGCGTTTACAGGTCAAAAAATGAATCAACTCTCAGCTTCTGGAGCGAGCATTTTCCGGGCTACGATGTCCCACAAGAAGTTTCACCTCATCAATCAAACACTGCATTTTGATGACAAGCTGTCCCAACACCGCGATGACAAGCTAGCTGCCATCCGCAGAGTCTGGGAAATTGGGACGCACAGCCTGCTGATGCTGTTCAGCCCAGACAGGGACATCTGCGTGGATGACCAGCTTGTCCCATACAGAGGCTTCAGCTTCATTTAACATTTACATTTTTATTTAACATTTACATTTAGACTTTGTCACATTTAACTGTGAGAAAACGTGTTGTCACATTCAGCTAAATGTGAGAAAACTAGTGTAAGTGCTATTTTTACAAACGGCGCTCCATAGCTACAAACGTGAGAAGTTCACATGCAAGGGGGCCACAGTCGGGGCATTTACAGAGTCTGCGCGTCCTGAGCTGGATTCTCACACCCAGACACAGGCTCTCTTTCAGTGTTCATCTTTTTAAAATAAATGTCTTTCTGGTTCAAACTGATGTATTTTTAATTTATTTTTAAAACACAACAGTGTAATAAGTATTTAGTGGGGGGAACAAACATTTGAATCCATGACTCTCAAACTGAAACAGTCCTGTGATTTTGTCAGAAGCCGAAGCCAAGAACCAGAAAACAGGAGATGGACAGATGACTGTCCTGGTAGTTTTATTAAGCAGTATTTTTTCACATGCCATATATATATATATATATATATATATACACACACATATATAGTATATAAATGTTAACATACTTGGCAATAAGGTCTAGTTTAGTTATGAAATGCTTGTACTGTCTTGTTTTTTGGGTATTCTCGATTTGTTTTTTAGGACGCACCGCACAGAGTTGCAGCGCGTTCCAGTAGCTCTGTCCTCTTCTGTGTTTTTTTTTTTCCGTGCTTTCTGAATTTGTCTATCAAGATTGGTGTGGGGTATCTGTTCTTATGGTGTCTTGTTGCTTGCTCTGTTGTTTTTGTCCCTTACTGCTGCTGGAACACTGGAATTTCCCCACTGTGGGATCAATAAAGTTCTACCCTGCCCTATGAGTGATTGATTTGCCTAGGTGTATGTGTATATACATCAGAATCGGCTTTATTGGCCAGGTGTGTTGGACAGAGGAATTTGACTGGTACAGCAGCTCTCAATATGTTTGTACAAATCCTTAAGGCAATAGTAAAGGTAAGCAGCATATACACAGACCTACACATACATCTATGCAGATCAATCACTGATTGACACCAAATGAAACTGGAAAAAGTAGAACAAAAATACAAACATCTACAGTATTTCTAAATATGTGCATATATACAAGTTAACTTAGCTATTTTACGTACAGTGATCACATCCAAGTTATTGCACTGTGCTACAGGTATAATGTACCATCCAAACAAAACACAACTCATTCACACAGGCCTGGATACAAAAGGTTGCTTGGTCAGTGTCCTTTAGGTAATCACTTTCCATCTGGTTTTCCTTTATTAGATACAATAAATACTTTCAGTTGGAAACATTTCTTTTTACTTGGCATCTTTTTTTTTCAACAACCTCCTGAGCTGTGTCACAGTCTATCCAGAGGTGTCGTCATTACAGTAAATCTCTGGACTCTGTTTCCTTGTGACATAACAGCTCCAGGAAACCACAGCTCTGACAGGAAGCCAGCAACAGTCACCAACCAGTGGATATCTCTTATGCTCTCTGGTGTGTTTTTATCTTCTAACATTTTGATTGCCTACATGCTGCAATAGCAGTAGGCAGGGAAGCAGAGCTGCATGAGCCTTTCACTGATTTATATGCCACTGTCTTTCACTGTTCCATCAGGCAGTGGTGGAGGGGAGGCTCGCTGGTCCTCCCCCCACCGCTGTCTGCAGAGCCAGCTTTCCTGTTGACCCTGTCTCTGGCTGTGATGCAGCGAAGAAGGGAGAGCTTGCTTCTTCTATGCAGCCTCTGTGCTGTGTTTCCAGTCCAGTCTGCTGTCTCAATACTTTTGTCAGCAAAATACTTCAGATTTAGTTTTTAAAAAATTCACAGAAAATCGCACATTGTTTTGTAGTTAGTCATTATTGGTGACAGGGTGTAGATTGATATGCAAAATAGAAACAACAGTCGCAAGAAAAAGTTGTGGCAGTGTTTGTAATTTCATGAAATGTGTTCTGATCCTCACCACAGTCACAAATATCAACAAACACAATAATTCTAAGCTAATAAAACACAAACAGTCCTGATCTTTTATGTCTTTATTGAACACACATGACCACTTTATGCAGAAAACCAGGAAAGTACAATGCCAAGACTTTTTCTCCATTTACATTTAAATCTACAAGACAATAAAATTTGTGTGAATGTTTTGAAATAACACACTATGAAAGCTGGTGCACAAAACATTAGTAAATTTAAGACTGTCCTGATTTAAGAAGGGAAAATTGTGTCACAGCAGTACACGACAGTGAAAAGATGTAGGACATAGAAAAATTTTTGACATTTTAAATAAAAAACATAAGTGATTATAAAAGTTATTTTAGAATATATGTAAACACCAGGCAATATAGGCTAGGGAGCTACAGAGCACGGTTTTCCTACTGTCCCACCACTAGAGCCAAGTCTCTACCCTCCATCCTTCCCAAGGCTGTCTTATTTGGCAGATGACAGCCAACTCCACCCTCCTCTTGCGACCAAGTCACCACCCGTCTCATGACTGTGCCCGCCAATGTGCAACGGGCCCCATTACCAATCGCTCTCCGGGTCGCAGGGGCCAAGGAGAAGCCAATGGCAGCGGCGCTGGCGCTCTCCTCTGCTGCAGCAGTCGCACAGGCTCAGATAAAACCATAGATGATGATGCTACAGCTCAACATGTGGCTCCACGTGTCCCAGGTTCCCGAGCAGATCAAAAAAGTTTTGCTAGATGGTCCCCTCAGCTCTGATGGGCTGTTTGGGCTTCATCTCCAGGAAGCAGTGTCTCACCTGCAACAAACGTCTGAAGAGGCAGACGGAGTGAGAAGGCTCACCTCAGTCTCAACCTCCTCCACATGAGGAGTCGTCAGAGGTGGTTCGGCTTCCTCCACCTAGGAGCGGCTGGAGAACCTAGGCCTGCCTCCAGCAGTTATGCACACAGTTTAGTGCACTAGGGCTCCTTCGACAGCAGCTCCAGTTTGGCAAAATGGTCCAATGGATCCCCCACTTCATGTCACAGAGGGGTGGCATGTACTGTTAAGCGTCATACCCCTCATCCTCTCCACCTTATTTGCCCGAGCCCTACCTCTTGCACTCCTCTGCCTACTCTGCTCAAATTGGGACCTTTATGGTGCGTAATCGTCGCCCCATGCCTCCTTGCAGCAGCAGCCAGACTCTGTGCGAGGGCTGTGGTAGCGCCTGTTCTACAGACAGGGCTGTTGCAGGGCAGGGGGGGTTTCTCTGCCTGTTGTCTATGGGGTCTGGGTTGTAAGCTGAGATGTTTTTAGATGATCATAGGCTCAGCAGGTCCAGCCGGGCGTTGACTACAGAATAGCAACAGCACTTAAAGGGTGAAGCTGTAGAACCTGGGATTACATCTATATGTAGCCAGTGTTTCATCTAATCCTACATAGAACTGAACTTTTAATGAAGTGGAATTCAATTTGTCCAAAGAGCACTTGAAAACTAGATGATAGATAACATCAGTGATGGAATAAGTATTCAGACCTTTACTGTCAAGCGGATCCACTACAAGTACAAAGTATTAATTGTCTAAAGTTCTGAAAGCATAAAAACATCCCTATGAGTGGAGAGGTCACTGGTTTGCAACTAAGGTCAGGCCCCTTCAAAGCATCACCTCATAAATCTGAAAGGTCATTGGACGATTGATGCAGTAATGCAAAGTGATCTCTGCACAAACAAGTGTTGTGACTTTGCTTTTGTTGTCATATTTGATATATATGTGTATATATTTTTTTCTCAGCAGGTATTTAACATTTCCCCTAATGTGTCTGGTAGAACTACTAATGAGCTCCTTGAAACACAGTTTGGGAGCTACTGATGTAATTTTTTAACAAGTTATGTTTATTAATTTATTTATTTTAATGTAAAATGTTTATCCATAAAATAACTAGTAACTCTAACTTGCTAAAGTAATGTGGAAGAAAAAGTACATGTCCCATGTTCTCTTGGTTTTATCTTGTTCACTTGTGTACTTGTTGCTTTACAGAATAACATTGTACATGCACATCGAGAACCAGAGTCAAACTCCTCACACACCTGATTCTGAGCTGTGGTGTAAAAGAGTAAATTAGCCTAACTTGGAAATACTCAAAGTATGAATACCTCAATACTGTTCAGTCATCAGAAAATGTATTTAACTATTTTTGAGGATCTCTAAAAGCAAAGAATGCATTACAGTGGGGCTGGGCACCAGAGGACATGAACCCAAACTGAGTCAGTCTACTGAATGCAGCTTAATAAACACAATGTGACCTTTGTGTTGTTGCAGTGTTTGTATTACACATTTTATATACTTTTAATTATGGTTTAAACATAATTTTATTGTGAACTAAATAAGAACAACTGAGGTAAACACGTGAAACACACCGTCAGGAAGGCAGTCAGTCAGTTGCTTCCACCAACATCAGTGTGTTTGCAGATACCAAAATGAACTCTGTTTAATAGGCAAATATTACCAGAGGTTGGCTCTTTTTTTGTTGGATCTCTGAACAAACATGTCTTCTCGCTGTAAACTCGTTTAATTGGGCTTCTGATGCATTTTAAAGCATTTAGGGAGGAAATCACTGGGAAAAGACACAGAGCAACACTTCACACTGCGGCAGATGGGAGAGGTTTAAACGCTTCCCAAACAAAATGCAAACAAGTATTTTGATTTACATAGCTTCCATACGAAGAGCAACTTCTTCGCTATGGTTTGGATTTATTCTCACAGTTTAGCACTTTCTTGAAATGTATATTTTACACCTTTATTGGTAAAGAGAAAACACAAGTGTCACTGTGTTCCTGCTGCACGATGCAGCGGCAGGCTGGGTTGACTCTCCATGGTCCTCATGGTGTGTTTAAGTGCCTGTCGGGATCGAAAGATCTGACCAGTCTCAGTTTGACACAGTTTAAACGATACAACAGCGCGATGTCAGAAGTAGCTCCAGCTCCCGCAGCCCCTGCTCCGGCCGCTCCGGCTAAAGCAGCGAAGAAGAAAGCAGCCAAGCCGAGCAAGAAGTCCGGGCCCGCCGCTGGTGAGCTTATCTTAAAGGCAGTGTCTGCTTCCAAGGAGCGGAGAGGTGTTTCCTACGTGGCTTTGAAGAAGTCGCTAGCTGCTCATGGTTACGATGTGGAACACAAAAGCAACCATATCCGGCGCGCCATCAAGAGCCTGGTGGAGAAAGGTGCTCTGGTTCAGACCAAAGGAACCGGGGCTTCTGGGTCTTTCGTTCTTTCAAGGCAAGCAAGGCGGCTGAAAAACCTAAGAAGACAGTGAGGAAGCCTGCTATTAAAGCTAAGAAGCCGGCAGCAAAGAAACCTGCAGCGGCAAAGAAACCGGCAGCTGCCAAGAAGCCCGCCTCCGCCAAAAAGCCCAAAGCAGCTAAGGCGACTCCCAAGAAGCTGAAGAAATCCCCAGCAGCTAAGAAACCGACGCCTAAGAAGACAGCCAAGAGTCCGAAGAAGGTTGCTAAGAAGGCAGCTCCTCCGAAGAAGGCAGCGAAAGCGACTAAGCCTAAAGCTGCAAAAGCAAAGAAGGCTGCTGCCAAGAAACCAACCAAGAAATAAAACTACTAAACTCAGTTTAACCCAAAAGGCTCTTTTAAGAGCCACCCAAATGTTTACCTGATGAGCAAACGTTCCGCTTTGAAATTTATCAATTTAAGACTTTAGTTGTTCAAGTTATGTGTGAAGGTAGATTTTTATTTGCTATTTATGCATAGATAGACGGTCTAGATATATAGGGAGCTCTCTTTTGGACTCAAGTAAGGAGTCAAAAGCCAGAGAGAACACTTAGTTTAAAATAAAAAAGTTACATAAAGGAAACAAAATTTTAACCGCAATACAGAAAAATAGGTTAATAGTGTTTTCCCAGTGAACTTAAAACATCGCACTTAGTAATTCACATGGTGGAGTAGGATATGTCATTACACTTGGTGAGGTAGTGAGGGGTTATAACATACTAAAACACAGCTTATATTCAGTCTTGTTTCCATTGCTGTTTAAACCATAATCCGGTTTACACATTGTTTCCTGCGCACTTAAACGTATTCACATTATTTAACTGTTGCATCCACTTGTGCCAGCGGACTTTAGGACTACCAGAAGCAGCGAGGTGAAGTATGAATGGGCCTGTCCTGGTTCCTGCATCACTGTCAGTGTGGTTACTCCACTTTGTCTATTTATTCCACGTGGAGGTCGTTGGCTAGAATCCATTTGTTCTTTATTGAGTTGGTTTATATTTGTATTTTTTAAGATATGCTACAGTCTAAAATCAGCAAAAACTCAGCTGCACCAGGAATGAAAGAATTACAACAGAAAATGCAGTTTAATATCAAAGGCATAATTTTAGAGCCTATGAAGTCTGTACAAGAGGCTCAGAGATACGTCAATGAAACTCAAAATCATCTAGGCACATCAGTGTAACCACCTTTATATACTGGTTAAATGTGAATAATGTTTATTATTTTGTCTCATTTTGCGTCTGGCTGTGATGCATTTGACATTGACAATCTACCAGAATCCTGCCATACAGTGTGTGGCAGGAAGTAGTGCATTTTTATTTTATTTTGTACCTTCTAATTTAAATAAACCTTTGAATTTCAACTCTTTACATATTTTATAATTGACGCTTTAAAGGCTTCTTAGTTTGTAAATCCCACAAACTATGGGGCGGAAGCTGTGTGAGCTACAAGAAGACTTTACATAGTCGGTTCTGATTGGACGATCACACTAACATACAATCTGACCAATGAACAACAAGATTGGAGCAGCCGTATCAATATAAGGAGAGACTCGAGTATATCTTATTAGTCAGTGTTTACAAGTAATTTTTTTT